GGAGAACCTACATTTCCACCCTCACCAGTCTATAACAAGGCACCCTAAATTCCCTCCTCCATTGGGGTGATGTAGAGAAGGCCAAGTGGGGAGTCAAGACTTTCATGCCCACCAGGCAGTAACAAGGCATACCCACTCTCTCCCCACCATGAGTGGAGACCATGTGGGGAATCTGGACTTCAATCCCCACCCAGTGGTAATGAAGTGCCCACTTTGTCTCCCTGACAGGGCTGTATCAGAGGGCCTAGTAGAGAGTCAAGACTTTTACCACTGTCCAGTGGTAACAAGGCCATCATCCCTGCAGTATCACTGGAGATCACAGTGGGGAGTAATAATGGGGCACTCATGATGTCCCAGCCAGGGTGAACTCAGCAGAGGCCTAGCGGAGATCAGGAGCTCCTCAGAAGTAAAAAGGAGATCCTCCTTTCCTGGGGGTAACAATAGCTGAGTGGGATCCTGAACTTCCCTCTGGAAGTAATGAGGTGGCTCTCTCCCCACTAGTCCCTTTCCAATGCTATGTCAGAAAGTCAGCTAAAACAGAATATTTAAATAAGATCTTGAATCTCCCAACATAATATCAAAAATGTCCAGATTTCAATTGAAAACGACTCGTCATACCAAAAACTAGGAAAAGCTCAACTTGAATGAAAAAAAAGACAATCAGTAGATGCCAACACCAATATGACAAAGATGTTGAAATTATCTAACAAAGATTTTAAAGCAGCCATCATAAAAATACTTCGGTGATCACTACTAAAACATCTGAAACAATTTCAAAAAATAGAAAGACTGAGTAAAGAAATAGAAAGTCCCAGAAAAGAAATAAGATACAAAGAACAAGATGGAAACTTTAGAACTGAAAAATATACTAACGGAAATTAAGACTTAATGGAATGGAGGGAACAAAGAAAATAATTGGTAACCTTGAAGATACATCAATAAAAATGACCCAATCTGACGACAGGGAAAATATGCTGGAAAAAAATAATAAGCATGGCCTCAGTGACTTATGGAAATACAACAAAAGATCTAACATACATGTCATCAGATTGTCAGTAGAAGAATAGAAAGAAGGAGGGGTTGAAAAAGTATTTGAATAAATAATGGCTGAAAAGTTTTGAAATTTCACCAAAGACATAAACCTACACATTCAAGAAGTTGAGTAAATTGCAAACAGAATAAACTCAAAGAAATCCACTCTAGTAGACAAAAGTTCTCAAAACTAAACACAAAGAAAAAACATTGAAAGCAGCCAGAGACTAACCTATAGGCAAAGAACAATGGATTTCTCTATTAGAAACCATATGAGCCAAAAGGAAATGGAACATGTTTAAAGTGCTAAAAGAAAAGAATCATCAGCTCAGAATTCTATATCCACAGAAAATATCCTTCAAGAACAGAAGGCAAATAAAATATTTTCAGATGAAGGAAAACGAAGAAATTTGTCACTAGCAGACTTACTCTAAAAGAATAACTGAAGGAAATTTTCTAAGCAGAAAGGAAATGACAGAAGAAGAAATCTTGTATCATCAAGAAGGAAGAAAGAGCAATGGAAAGAGTAACAATATGGGTGAATACAGTATACTTTCCTTTTCCCCTTGAGTTGACTAAAATATGCTTGATTTTTTAAACAAAATTTATAACACCATCTAGTGTGGCCCTAAACGTATATAGAGGGAATATTTAAGACAATTATATTATAAGTGGGGGAGTTAAGATTTCTACATTTCACTTAAACTGGTAAGCTGTTGACACCACTAGACTGTGATAAGTGGTGTATATATAATGTAATACCTGCAACAACCACTAATAAAGCTATGCAAAGAGATACACTTAAAAACACTATAGATAACTCAAATGGAATTCTAAAATGTTCAAGTGGTAGGACAAAGAAAACAGAGAGAACAAATAAAAGTAACATTAAATGGCATACTTAAGCCCTAACTTTTCAATATTTGCATTAAATGTTAATGATCTAAACATACCAATTAAAAGACAGGGATTGGCAGTGTGGATTAAAAATAAAACAAACAAAACTTGGCCCAACAATACTGTCTACAAGAAACACATTTCCAATATAACAGTATAATTAGGTTGGAAGTAAAAGATGGAAAAAGAGACACCATACAAACATTAATCAAAAGAAAGTGGGAATAGCTGTATTAAAATCATATAAAGTAGACTTGAGGGCAAGGAAAATTATCAAGGACAGAGAGGGACATTCCATAGTGATAAAAAGGTCAATCCATCATAAAGACATAGTAATCTTAAATGTGTACACCAAACAAGACAGCTATAAAATATGTGAAGCAAAAACTGATAAAATCGAAAGAGAAAATTCTTAAAATCCACAATTATAGTCAATCCACAACTGATAAGCAACTAGATAGAAAATCAGCAAAGATATAGAACCAACAACACTGTCAACCAGCCAGACCTAGTCAACATTTATACAACACTCTGCCCAGCAAGAGGAAAATGCACATTCTTTGCCAAGAGCTCACTGAAACATACACCAAGACAGACTATATCCTGGACCATAAACAAACCTGTACAAATTTGAAATAAAAAATTGAAACCAGGGATGCCTGGTTTCATGCCCACTTCATGGGTGGATCAGTTGGTTAAGCATCTGACTTCGGCTCAGGTCATGATCTCAGGGTCCTGGACACGAGCCCCGAGTGGGGCTCCCTGCTTAGCGGAAGTCTGCTTGTCCTTCTCCCATTTACAAATGCTCCTTCAAAAATAAAATACTTAAGTGTAAGTCTAAAAAAATGTACGGAACTTAGATGCTGAAAACTACCAAATGCTGACAAAAGAAATAAAAGATCCAAATAAATAAAGAGACCTAACATGTTTATGCAATTGAAGACTCAACCTAATAAAGATGTCAATTCTCCCCAAATTGATATACAGATTTAATGCAACCCCATCAAAATTTCAGCAAGATTTTTTGTACATATAGACAAGATTATTTTAAAATTTATATAGAAAAGCAAGTGAACTAGAATAGCTAGAATAATTTTGAAAAAGAAGAAGAAAGTTGAAGTTATCAGTCTACCCAATTTCAAGACAGTCTATAGCTACAATAATCAAAATTGTGTGACATTGACAAAGGAACAGACACATAGGTCAATGGAATGGAACTGAGAATCCAGACATAGACGCCTACAATTACAGACAACTGATTTTTTTTTAAAGATTTTATTTATTTGACAGAGAGACACAGCGAGAGAGGGAACACAAGCAGGGGGAGGGGGAGAGGGAGAAGCAGGCCTCCTGCGGAGCAGGGAACCCGATGCGGGGCTCGATCCCAGGACCCTGGGACCATGACCTGAGCCAAAGGCAGATGCTTAATGACTGAGCCACCCAGGTGCCCCTAGACAACTGATTTTTGACAAAGGTGCAAGAGCAATTCGATGGTAAAAGGGTAGTCTTTTTAATAAATGGTGCTGCAGCAATTGGATATCCATTGGCAAAACTATGAACTTTGCTTGACCTAACCACATCTTACACAAAAATTAATTCAAACTGGGTCATAGATTTAAATGGAAAGTCTAAAACTATAAAACTTTTATAAGAAGTCATAGGAGAAAAGCCTTTGGGGTCTAGGGCTAGGTGAAGAGTTCTTATACTTGACACTAAAAGTATTAACCATAAAAGGAAAAATTGACTGCATGGACTTCATCAAAATTAAAAACGTTGACTCTGCAAAAGACCCTGTTCAGAAGATGAAAGACAAGTTACCACCTGGGAGAAAATATTTGCAAGCCACATATCCAACACAGAACCAGTATCGAGAATATATAAAGAACTCTTACAACTCCAGAATTCCAAACAAACACAACTGAACATTTCCCTGAGGAGGACAGACTGTGAGCTTATAAGCATATGTTTAACCATCGGAAAACTGCCATTAGCCTGCTCTTCCTGACAATCGTTAACAAAACTCCCCGATTCTCCTGAGACCATCCCTGGCCCCCTCTGATCTGCCTTCTCCCCCCTCTCCTATCCCAAGTCCGCCTTCCCTGGTTTGGTCCTCATATACCCTCTCCATCCCTAAATTAGCACTTCCTTCCACTCCACGCTGTGGGCCTTATCTTGCTGTCAGGAGGATTCAGCTGTGGGACAGTAAATGCCACCAAGTCAGGCTGGCCATGGAGAAAGGAGGCAGGGTGCTAAAGGGAAGGGGAACTGGCAGGTGGTGGGAAGGGGATAGAGGAACAGACAGAGCTGGGTACAGGCAGAAGAATCTTTCTGGCGCTCCCTCGTCACATCAGAGGCCACCAGACTCTTTCCCCAGCCTGCTCAGATCTGCGAGAGGAGCTGAAACACGGATTAACTTGAGTTTTTCTATTCCCAAAATGGCCAAAAGTTTTCGCCATTCGAATCAGTGTTAAATGCACCACTTAATGGTCAGCCGACTGACTTCGAGTTATTTCATAGCCAAATAGAATCGAAGTGGGGCTGGGATGGCTAGTCAAGGGGCGGGCCTAAGTATCCACTGCAGAGGGGGGAAATTGGGGCGTGTGTGTGTGTGTGTGTGTGTGTGTGTGTGTGTGTGGTGTGTGTGTGTGTGGGTGCGCGCGCACGATCCATAGGGACAGATGTGCCCAGAGCTCAAACAGTGGAGGGTGGAGGCCTTCAGGATCCTTTGAAACTCCCAGGTGGAATCCAGGTCGGACACACATCCTGAATGGACCTTTCCTGCCCAGCCAGGATATCCTGTGTTTGTCGAAAGGACCGCACAGGGAAGCCCTGACCATTGTCCTTCCCGAAATCTGCCAGTCAGCCCTTCCCCAGCCCGAGGCAGCCGCCCCAGACAGAGGAAGAGTAACTCTGGAAACGGTGTTATCTGCATCCTCCATGGACTTCCTCACCTCCTCCCCTGCCCCGTTAGCCCTAAGCTCCTTAGCATCCTCAAACAGAATTTGGGGAAGCTGGGATGGGGTCAGCGCCCTGAAGCCAGCCCCCTCTCTTTTGCCAAGACCCACCTCTGCGCAGCCCTGAGTGGGCAGCTGAAGCCTGCAGCGGGGAATCCTGAGCAGGAGATGGAGCCCCAGCTGGGGCCTAAGGCTGCCGGCCTCGGCCCAGGCTGGCCCGTGCTGCTGCTGTGGGTCTCAGCCCTGAGCTGTTCTCTTTCTTCGCTGGCTTCTCCCTCTCCTTCTCTGGTGCCCCGAAGCAGAACCAGCTATAATTTTGGAAGGACTTTCCTCGGTCTTGATAAATGCAATGCCTGCATCGGGACATCAATTTGCAAGAAGTTCTTTAAAGAAGAAATAAGGTCAGAATCTCCATTAGATAACTCGGAGGGGCAAACTCCTGTTCCCTTCATGTGATGATGTCCAGGAGTTTGTTGAAAATGAGTCAGGATACAATTTCTGGGTGGGAGCTGAAGCAAAGTCAAGTCATCATGGTGGTGATGGGTTGACGTTGGGCTGGGGAGGGGGATAAGGTATGAAGCTGAATTCTAGCCCTAAATGCTAAAGCCAAAGTTTTCTTTTGAAGTGGGAGCTTAAAGTGTTCTTTTCTATGAATGGAGTAGCCCGGGATTATTGAGTTTGCCAAGTTCATTTCTCATAAAAAGAGGGAAATAAAATTAATAGGAAGCCTACTATGTGACAGACCTTTTAAAGCTTATTTTTATTCGCTCTGCATCACCATCCCAGAACGTTAATGTTTTGCACTCATTACTCAGAGAGTGACCATAGCAAGATTAAGTGACTTGCCCAAGGTCACCCCCTAGTAAGTGGCAGATCTAGGATTTAAACCAGGGCACTTTGCTCCAAAGTTTCGGAACCAATTTTCCAATGCAGAGGAAAACCCAAGTTTAGTAAATGGTAATGCGTTTGGATCTCACCAAGGACGGTATCACACTCTGGAGTTCAAGCCTGTCAGCACATAGTCAATGAGTCTTGACCACAGCCAAGACCCAGCAGGGGGGCTAATGACATCGCTGTAACTCTTGGTCATTGCCCTCGAGGTGCTCAGGAGGAGGGAGCCATGTTACAAATAACAATAATAAGACGTGGCCTGAAATGTACAGGACCTCCAGGAGCTCCAAGGAGGGGAATACTAATTCCAAATGGGGGCTGGAGAAGGCATTCAGAACAAGGCCTTTAAAGGATGAGCTGAAATTTAGGAGAAGGGCTTAAGGTAGAAGGAACAGTTAAAGCAATGGCCCGGAGTGTGGCTCCGGAGAGGCAAGAAGCACTTAGGGGCTGGAGCATGGGGCCTATGTGGAGGCGTGGCAGAAGGAGGCCATTGGAAGAGGCAGATGGGGCAGGGGCCTTGAATGCCATGCCAAGGAATTGGGACCTTCGCCTGTGGGCCAGCGGTTCCCCACCTCTTTGATACTGAAGACCCTTTGTAATAGGCCTTTCTCAGCAGCCCTCCCCCAGGGACCTATCTGAGGCATGTAAAATTTGGTGACCAAAAAACAACATTAATTTACAATAATTTGATTTCCAATTTGTATTAACTGAAGACATATTTGATTATTCAACTAAGTTACTAAACAAATATAATGAATAGAAAATATCAGTCAAAAATGTGGAACTTTTGAGAGATGATAGGTATCATATTGATGTGGACTTTCCCCCTTAGGACTTTTTTTAAGGCATTTCAAATGGTGAAAAGTTGAAAGACCTTCCCAACCGGGGAAGCTCTATTGCAGGCAATGGTGAAGGAGTTTAGTGGGGTAGAGACAAGATGAGACTTGTGTTTTGGAAGGATCTCCTGGAAAGCAATGTGCGTCTGCCTTTGGCTCAGGTCATGATCCCAGGGTCCTGAGATCGGGCCCCACGTTGGGCTCCCTGCTCAGCAGGAGCCTTCTTCTCCCTCTGCCCCTTCCCCTGCCACCCTGCTCGTGCTCTCTCTCTCTCTCTCTCAAATAAATAATTTTTTTAAAAATAATAATTAAAAAAAAGAAAGCAGTGTACAGGATGACGCTGGCAGGGGCAGCCAGACCAGTTCTCCTAGTCCAGGAGAAAAGTCAGTGGGAAAAAAGCAGGGCAGGAAGGATGCCAGTGGGTAGGTTCAGCTAGAGAAGTCATTTTGTTGACCAACTCAATGTGACAGGAAGTAAAGATGGAAATGTTGAAAGCAAACACAAGATTTCCATCCCATCTAAGAAATGGGGTGGAGAGGACCGAGAACATGAGTGAAGTGGGGCTGATTCCTCAGAGAAAGGAGGAGAGAATACGGACAGATTTTCTGACAGGAGGGAGGGCCTTTATGGGATTCTACTGAAGGAGAGTCCCAGATTCACATCCTCCTCGAGGTAACTAAACAAGAGTATATGAATCGTACAGTTGACTCTTCGCCAAGTGGCAATAAATGAAGTTTTTCTCACCAGGCAGGTATTGGCCAAATTCAGGAAGCATTTCCCCAAATAGGTTTGTGTTCCATTCAAGTTCAGGATATTACCTCAGCTCCCTCAGAATTTATGTTCCATGTGCGCCCGAAAGGGATGTCTGCAGAGACAAGCAGGAAAGCACCAGGTGGGGTGGGTTGGAGTTTAGGGCTCTCCATGTTGAGAATACACATTCTTCAAGCGCAAAACCCCAGAGAGAGGCAATGAGTGGGTCTGGGGACGCAGACTTGTTGATAGTTCTTTACAGCGTAAGCAACTGTTTCCTTATTTTAAAAGTAATATCTGTTTATTTTAGAATTTTCAAAAAATACTGAAGAAAGCACAAAATGAAAATCATGTATAATGCCTCCACGGAGGGATCACCCCTTATTTAACCTATCCTTGCCACCTTTTCTCTAAGTATGGATTTAAAATATTTTTTTCAGCAAAAATGTGATCAGACTATGTACACTTTTCTGTAAAATTTTATTTAACAGTATGTCAGGAACACCTTTCCACATTATTAACTGTTCTTCAACGTCAGCCATAGAAACATTTTTCTAGATATGTCTCCTTTGGCAAGGAAAACAAAAGTAAAATTAGACTCTTGGGACTGCCAAGAGTCTTTGCACAACAAAGGAAACCATCAACAAAACAAACAAACAAACAAAAAAACCCACCAAATGGGAGAAGATATTTGCAAATGACACATCCACAATTTGATTTTTAATGGCTTTGTGGTATTCAATCGCATCAGGCAACCATAATTTATTTAACTAATCCACTGCTGTGAGACAACTAGTTTTTTTTCTCTTTTCAATATTATAAACAGTGTTATGTTGAACATCCCTGCTGCTAGATTTTTGTGCACATCAATCATAAATTCCTATGACAAATTCCCAGAAGTGGAAATTTCTGGGTCACGAAATATAGCGCATTTTTAGGAGACTTTATATATATCTCCAAATGGAGACTTCTACCTATAGAGCTCACTTCTTGCATGATCACAAATATTTAATATTACTACTATTTTTAGTTTGTATGTCTTCTGAGTTGAGCCTTTTTTTCAGGCTTACTGGCCATTCCTTTCTTTCTTTTTTTGGGGGGGGGGCTTTGTATAATTCTTTTCTTTATTTTTTAATTTATTTCTTTTTTTATTTAAATTCAATTAGCCAACATATAGTACTGACCATTTCTATTCCTTTTTTGTTTGCTAAATTGTCTACAAGTTCATATCCTTTGCCTCTCTTTCTAAGAGTGTTTGTTCGTCTTGCTCATCTCCAAATATTTTCTCACTTTTGCAAATGACTATGATAATACCTTAGGAAGAAGCTCACCTCGAACTCTCAGCTGTTTGGCTGACATGCTATAACCAGGCAAGCGTTAGCATTCCAGGCCAGGGCCTCAGTAAGAACTGGACAAAAGCTTTTTTGTTTGGCAACAGAGAGTGAGCCTGGGAAGCTGAAGATACATCATTGGTAGATGACTGTCATCTTTTATCTTCTCTTTGGCAAGAACGCTGATGATAAACCTAATGCTTCGCATACCCAACTGTTAACCTTTGAACATTTCAATGTTTTCAGTACCAGTTTTCCCATGCGTTCCATTTGGACTTTCAAATCCTGAATGAAAAAAAAACTTAAGGGAAGCCAAAACACAAGAGGAAACCTGATTGACATAGTCTTCCCGCTGAACACATACCTATCTGTGAAATCCTAAGCAATCACGCCAGCTGGTGAGATCTAGCAGGAACTAGCTGATCAGGATTCATGTATGTGCAGCTCATAAGTTGGGGAGAAAGGTGGAGATGGAGGACTTAGCAGCAGTATTTCTGATCAGAATTGCTCCTAGGGATTCCTGGGCTCTCACCAAGGCAGGTGCTTTCCCTGCTTTCCCTCCCCTTCCTTACTGTACTCACTTGGCCTTGCATCCCTACCTCCCTCTCCCAGAGTCTTAAAGGAAGTTTAAAAACTTCTGAGTAGTGGAGGGCTCGCAGTATTTTTAAAATAGGTAAATCATTAGGCTTGCTTTTGCCTTCTCTTTTCCCTTACCCTCGTCTGTCTCTTTCATCTCGGAAGATGATAGTAATTATTGCTTTAACTCACTTCCTCGAATCAATTCAGAGGTCTCGGGAGCTGCAGGGCCCCAGAGCTTATGGTAAAAGCATCCGTGTACACATTCCGTCATCCACACATGCGCCCATCTGTCCATTTACCCATTCATTCAGGCGCCCGTCTGTGCATCGTTCCACCCAACCATCCCTCTGCAGCCAGCCAGCCAGCCAGCTCTCCATGTATCCCTCCACTCATTTATCATCCATCTGTACATCCAAATACCCATCCATCCATCCATCCATCCATCCAACTAAAATGCACTGGGCACTAACTTGGCGCCCAGCCATCTGCTAGGCACTGAGCGACCAAGTTGAGGGAAGCCCAGTCCTAGCCCTGCAGGAGTTTACTCTCCATTGAGAAGACAGTGGTGGCACTGGGAAAATGGAAGAAAGTATCTCAGACAAAGGGATGGGCACATGACCAGGTGAGTGGAGGCTCAGGGGCCCAAAACGATGTGGCTTAGCCAAGGATGATCAGTGGTTTGGTGAGAACAAAGCAAGGTTGTAGGGGGAGTAGAAGGAGATGGGCCCAGAAAGAAAGCTGTGAAGTGCTCTAAGTAGTGTGAGCTGTGTCCTAAGAGCTTTTGGGAAGACACTGGATGTTTTAAGGGTTCTGGGCAAAGCTGAGGGATGGAGAAGAGGAAAGGGAGGCAAGAAATATTTAGGAAGGCATGTCTACAGATTTAGTGTTTGACGGGATGTCAGCATGAGGAGCATGCAAGAGGAAAGTGTTTTATTGTTATTGCAACACCGGCGCTCTGTGCCACGCCACCACGCTGTCCTCCATGTTGAGGGGCTCGGGGTGGATTGGACCACATGACCTTGTTGCTTGCTTCCAGCTCTGGAAACCATGATACTGCTAGATACAACCCCTAATAATGTTACCTACCAATCTGTTCCCACAAGCGAGGTCATACAAAGGATGACAGGGGACCAGGCCAAGGCAAAGCGCTTGAGATTGCAAGTTCCGGGGCCTTGAATGCCGCCTCCTCCAATTTCTGGTTGTACGACTTTGGACAAATTACTTAACTTCCCTGTGCCTCAGTTTCCTCATCTGTATGGTTAAGAACAGTACTGACTTCGCAGGTTTGCGGCCAGGTTTAACTGAATTACTACTCACGAAGCATTTAGCACAGTGACTGGCATGCTTACGTGTTTTATACATGCGTGTTGCTACGATCAATGTCTAAGAGAACCACCTATCATAAATCCTCAGTCACAGGCATTTCAGGGGGTTGAACCCCCAGGAGCAAGAGCAGCTGCAGGGAACAAGCAGACAGGCCTGCCTCGGAGCCCTCTGCCCCTCCTTATCCTCTCAGAGGGGAGGACCATTTCCAATGGTTGTCCTGAAAATGCCGGTGAATTTGATTCACTGCTCGTTTATGACGTTTCATTTTTTTATTTCATTTCTTTTTCAAGATTTTATTTTATTTTTCATTTTTTATTTTTTTAGATTTTATTTATTTATTTGACAGAGAGAGACACAGTGAGAGAGGGAACACAAGTGGGGGAGAGGGAGAAGCAGGCTCCCCACTGAGCATGGAGCCCAATGTGGGGCTCGATCCTGGGACCCCGGGATCATGACCTGAGTCAAAGGCAGACGCTCAACCAACTGAGCACCCCAAAATCTTGGTGCCCCAAGATTTTATTTATTTATTTGAGGGAGAGAGCATAAGCTGAGGAGAGGCAGAGGGAGAGGGAGAAGCAGGTTCCCCACTGAGCAGGGAGCCCGACTCGGGACTCAATCCCAGGACCCCGGGATCATGACCTGAGCCGAAGGCAGACGTTTAACCGACTGAACCACACTGGCGCCCCACAATGTTTTACCTTTTTGAATAGATCTGTGGCAATGTTCTTGAACGGAATTCTTTGGGCCTACCTCCACTGCAGTTTGAACGGCACTACTACATTATGGAAGGTGCTAAGTGACAGGTTCTGCTGGAGCACCTTCTTTGAGAAGCTTGCAGTCTCTTAAGATGAAGCTGCATCATGTGAATGAGAAAACAAAGCAGTGTAGATTTTGGAGCCAATCAAAATGCTAATTCCCCCAAAAGTCATGATCATGAGGCTGTCCAATAATGCCCCAAAATAAGTTCCAGATTCTTACTTGAATTAAATATAGAACACATCTCAGAAGCTTAATTTTATTAATCATGAAAGTAAACGTTACCTTCCTAATTTTTCCTACATAAATCAGAAGATTTCACATTCTCCCCTAATGGGAATGTTGGCATGTGGCCAGAAGAATGGCCAGAGAAAAAAAGGTCAAGGTGGGGCCTAGGAAACTAGCAAAGGGGTCCTAGGGGAGGATTAAGGACCAACCAGGCCTTTGTGTGGCATTACACACGTCTTGGATCCCAGAGGGCTTTGAATTTGGTGACCATTTTCCAGCCACTGTTCCCTGTGACTTGCTTGGTATGGATGGCTTAAATCTTTGGACTGAAGGCAAAATTGATGGGGCCACCAAGGGTGGGATATGCCGAGGTAGTGCTCCTCCGAGTGCAGGTCCAGAAGCCTCTTCACCAACTATGGTTCCAAGACCCAGCCATTAGTCAGAGGGTGGGCTGCTTCTAGAACCAGTGTTGGGAAGGGGAAAGATCATGGGCTCTGCTGACAGATGGCCCTGGGTCTGCACGTCTGCTCAGCAATGTACTGTCTGAACTTGGGAGAGGTCCTTAAGCTCTATAAGCCTCAGTTTCCCCATCTGTAAAGTGGGGATGGGGTATCAGGAGAATCTAAGGCACCAGCATGTGTAAAGCTGCCATCTTTATATGGAGAAGTTCAGAAAGCCATGGCTAGTCCTTCTGCGTCAGCTGCCTGAAGAAGATAAAGCATGTGTCTGGAGTGTATCTCCCTCACCTTTTCTGACATCACATATTTACATCCCTGAGTTTGAGGAAACAAAAGTAGTGTTCTCACAGAAAGAGTGGAGCGCCCCAGTCGAAGGAGGAGAAATGGATCAGACGGGATGTTGTCGCCTGTCTCCCTGGCCCCAGGTTCTGCTGGCTCTGACAATATAGCTAGTCCCTCCTTGGCCCCTGCTTCATCCCTCCAGTTCCAGGCAGATCCTAAAAGGGCTCTTCTGGGGGCGCCTGGGTGGCTCAGTCGGTGAAGCATCTGCCTTCGGCTCAGGTCATGATCCCAGGGTCCTGGGATGGAGCCCTGCGTCGGGCTCCCTGCTCAGCGGGGAGTTTGTTTCTCCCTCTCCCACTGTCTGCAGCTCCCCCAGCTTGTGCTCTCTCTCTCTCTCTCTCTCTCTAATAAATTTTTAAAATTTTTAGAAAAATATATTAAAAAATAAAATAAATAAAATAAAAGGGCTCTTCTTCCAGGTTTGACAGCTGGCTGGCTTCCCCCCTCGGACTGCCTCCCGACTACTTGCCTTCTTACCCTGCAAATTACTCAGATGATTCCAAAACCTGGCGCCCTGTGGAGGTCTCCAGGCTGGTCAGCAAACAGCAAAGTGACATCTCAGACAGGAGAATCTGCGCCTCTGCAGCAGCCCCAAAGACCTGCAGCATCGAGCGCATCCTGAGGAAAACCAGGAGGTTCCAGAAATGGCTGCAGGCCAAGCGCCTCACACCAGACCTGGTGCAGGTGAGTGTGCTGGTCGTGGGGCAGGAGACAAGGGGGTGAGGGGGGGGAGGCATCTACTCTCATCTCACATCTCCATGTGGGGAAAAGGAGTCATGGTCTGTCTGAACTGACCAAACCATGTCACGAAGCAGAGTGGTTTGTGACAAGACGGTAACTAGACAGGGTTAGTTATAGGGACCCTTCCCATTGTCATCCTCCACTCTCGCTGATGTGACCCTCCGCAACTATTTGGGAAACAGTTTCTGGCTGCTACCTCTGGCCTGAAGAACTGATGGGATGAGCTAAACCCTCCCCCCGGCCAGGGTTTAGCTCACCTACAAGCTTCTCAGGGGACCTTTGCCGACTTCCAGACTGTGCCCTCTCTTGAAAGCTCTCCTAGACACCCTGTTTCACCATCCAGAGAGCCCACTTTGGACATCAGCTTCTTCGTCCATTTCCCACCAGAAAGAAGAACAAACCTGAGTCATGACAGAAGTAGGCTCTGATAATACAGCTCCCTCTTCCTATCTGAGAGCTCCCACTCACTCCCCCAAGTAGGCTGCCTCCAAGACTTCAGCACATTGCTGGTGCCCTTGGTCCCCGCTCCTGCACTATCATCCCCAGGATCCTGCTTCCTCGCCCAAACCAGCACAACCTTGTCCCTCCCCACACACCCTGCTGGGCCCCTGATGGCAGAAGATGCCCCCACAGAGGACTGAGGAGTGTCTCACCTTCAGCCACGATGGGAAAGAAGAGGCTGACCCCAACCTCCCTGCCATGACAAGCCTGAAGGGCTCGAACTGGCCTCCTTGGGCGGATGCTGAGACCACCTCTTGCACTTCCCGGGCCACAAGCACCCTTCACGTGGACACCTGAGGCTGCCCGAGGGACTTCTGAAGCACTCAGACCTTCCCTTGGCCTCTTCAAGATGAGGGGCACCAAGCAAAGAAGAACCACTGGTCCCTGGATATCTCATCCGTGTCACAAGACCATGTGGCTTTGCTCTTGGGTTGTGTGGACACTGCTTTGCAATCAGGAGCAATCAAGCTGTGGGAAACATGGCTGCCATCTGACATCGCGCTTCCCAATGGGAGCCTTTTGCACTCTACACTTTATGAATCTCACTGCCGTGGGGGTGCGAAGAGAAGGAGCCAGAGGAAGTCAAGCCATTCTCAGGCCAGGGAGGTGGCGGGATCCAACATCCGGGTCTTGGAGTTTGTGCAGGAGACAGCAAGCAGAGGCTCAGGTGGGAAGAACCCGGTGCGGGGCTGCTCAACACTGAGCAGAACCTGACAACAGAGGACAGATAACAAAGCCCCCACCGTGGCCCACACCGTCGGTATAATCCCCCTGCGCCTCTCTTTCCGCACCCGCAGACAGACCCTCCATGCCCTGGCCTGGGTACCTGCCACTTGCCAATTGCAGGCTGGCCACAGCAAGCACTGAACTACAGGAAGGACCAATGTGAGACCTTTCCCGCTTTGCCTCAACTATGTGCTCAGGAACAAGAGGAAGTCCCCCAGGAAAAGCAAAACAAGATACACAGGGAATCATTTCAGAACCCCCTTGAAAATCCCGTCACCTCTTCCGGCCCCCATCATTGACGGGTCCCATGCCGAAGGACACAGTTCTCCTAAGGCACTGGCTCCAGACTTACCTCCACTTGGGACTTGCACAATACACCAAAGGACAGCCAGGTGCTCAGGATACACTTGAGATCCCACGGAAAGTGGCCAGACCGATGAACTAAGGAAAGCTCCCTCTTTCCCTCAGCTTCTAGAGATTTCCATAATAACAATCCAGTGGGGATTATCCCATGCCCCCACCCCGACCCCGGCAAGTCCAAAGCACCCTGCCCAGGACATCTAGTGTCACCTACCATGATGAGTGTAGACACTGTGGTGTAGACAAAAGATCTCTGGAGTCTGGAAACTGTCTGAGCCCTGGCTTTGCCACTCAAACCTGGGGCCAAACGAGAAGGAGCAGAGACCCAGGAAGAGCAAACAGTTGCCGCTTCCTGTGCCTCTGGTCAACAAGCTTCAACGCTGTGCTTTATCTTGGGGACACGAAAATGAATCTGACACAAGCCCCACCTCCAGGAGTGGGTGGCCCCCCAGCGAGGACAGGTAAGAACACAAACCACCACAAAGCAATATAGTGGATGACATGAGGACACTCGGTAAGGGAACAGAGGACAAACTATTGACTTGGGTCCTTCACTCACCAACCAGGTGACGTGGCATTTAAGCGCAGGACTTCCCCACTCTGCCCCCACATCCCTCCTCCCAAAGAGGGTTGAGGGGAGGCCTGGTGGATGATCTCAAAGAGCCTCCTAGCTCTGACATTCTTTGACTTGAGATGACTCTGCTTCACTTATTATTTAACAATCCTGATGAATGACTATTATCAGCAGGTACTCTGCTGCATGCCTTGACTTCCTACTTCTTTTTTTTTTATTATTTTATTTATTCATTTGAGAGAGAGAGCACGAACAGAGGGGAGAGGCAGAAGCAGACTCCCCACTGAACGGGGAGCCCGACGATGCGGGACTCCATCTCAGGATCCGGAGATCATGACCTGAGCCGAAAGCAGATGCTTAACCGACTGAGCCACCCAGGCGCCCCTTGATTTCTTCCTTCTCAAAGGGCAGCAAATAGTGCCTTTTCTATCCGATTCATTCATCTTAATGAGCTTTACATATGAAGATGCTTTAGAAAAAGTCCATCACCTTAGAAATACATGGCAACATTATTGTACTGAGAGGATTCCCTTTCTTCAGTGTGCTGTGCTAAAATTTACTCGACCAAATATGTCCTCTCGCTTTAACGTGTGGCCAAACAGGCTTTCCTTCTTTCTGCCAAAAACACATCCATTAACAGCACCCCGTTAAGACACAACCAAAGCCACAACCATTTTCACTTCTCTGCTAACTCATCTTTTCATCCCCACCCACCAGAGATTTTTCCTTTCCTTTTTTTTTTAAATTTAAATTCGATTAACCAATGTATATTACATGATTATTTTCCTTTCCTCATTAAAAAAAAAAAACAGAAAAATAGCAGCCATTTTATAAATGCTGAACAAACCCCATTTTCCCTCCATCCACCAAAGCTCAAGGTGTTCTGCACCCTTTCCCTCCCAGGCCCCATCCAGGCAGCACTCAAACTGCCGCACTTTTCTTCTTAGCAAAACTCACCTCCCAGACAGTTTAAAATGGATCCATCATCACCAAAGGTGGGGGTGAGGGAAACTCACTTATCTGCCCAAGACAGTTGAAAATGAGTGTTCAGACAAAAACTCGTATGTGAATGCTCACAGCAGGACTAATCACAGGAGCCAAAAGGTGGAAGCAACCCACACATCCATCAACTGAGGAATGAATAAACGAAACATGTCATAGCCACACAATGGAATATTATTTGACCATAAAAAAGAATCAAGGACTGATACCTGCTGCAACATGGATGAACCTTCAAAACATTACACTAAGAGAAAGAAGCCAGATGCAAAAGGACAAATATTGGAGGATTCCATGTATAGGAAATTTCCAGAATGGGCAGATCCATAGAGACAGAAAGCAGATTAGCAGTTGCCAGGAGCTGAGGGGGAGAATTAGGAGTGAATGTTTCATGGGCACAGGGTGTCTTTTGAGGGTGATGGGAAAATTCTGGAGTTAGAGTGATGATATTTGTACAACCTTGTGAGTACACTAAAAGCCATTGAATTATACACCTTAAAATGGTGAGAATGGCACACTTTATGTTATGCAAATTTCACCTCAACTAAAAACAAAAAGGAAGAATAAGCCCCATAGAAACTTCACCAATCCTGTGACTTCATTCCCTTGGAGTCCCAAGAGGTGATGGGCAGCTAATCCAATAATTTAATTCATGCCAGGATGTTAACAGCTAATAGCATTTCACTGTTAGCTCTCCAAGAAACCATTTGTGTGTAAAACCGATATGGCAATACTCGTACTTGTCCATCCCATGACTATCTCACACCTTCCTAAAACATCCCTGCATCCTTCCCCCTGCGCACAAAATCCAGATGTGCCCCCAGAATCCTTCCCGATGATCTGAGCAAGCAGCCTGTTTCAGAGTGACCATTCATCCCAGATTTGGCCGAACAGCTCTGCCGGTCCCAGGAATTCTCTCAACCATGACTTGAGTGGGTGTTCCCTGATTTTCTCAAAAGCCACTTTCCAACCGGGATCTAGGCCAGGGCCCTCCAGAGTGTGTATCTGTGTGTGTGTATGCCAGTGCGTGCTTGGGAAAGGAAAAGGGGCCGCAGGGAGCCCACAGGTTTGCTCAGAGAACTGACAAGGGAGAGAAGAGAAACAGTCAAAGAAATAAAAGGAAATTGAAGGCAGGGGGGATGTGACAGGTGCAGGGCCCTCCAAACCTCGATTGTGAGTTCTGCTTACGAATAAATAAAGTCAACTTGGATGAAAAGCCCCAGTGGTCACCATCAGAGGCTGAGCCAGGGAGTCCGTGGCTCCCCACTCCTGCAGGGCCAAGCACTGCTTTGTATTAAGGACACTCTCTTGAGCCACAGGCGGTATACTGCAGCGAGGTGCTGCCAATGAGGCAGCAAGGGACCAGAAAAATCAGCCAGAGGGTGAAACAATGCAGAGTGTGCGTGTGTGTGTGTGTGTGTGTGTGTGTGTGTGTGTGTGTGTGACTTATGCCAATAAAACCGTGACTTTTCTCCTTCTAAAAACTGCATTGTTCTGATGGGACTATCCCACAGCCTAAATTACTAGCCCACAGATAGAACCACAGCCAAGAACACCACCCAGTTTATCATGATGTGCCTGTTCGAAAAACCACAAAGAAGGTTTCCTCTGCTATTATGCCAAGTGCAAAGAGGCAACCACCCTCAGCAGTGCGTGGCTAATCAGAGGAAAACACATATCCCCCGTTGTGTCCCCCTCCCATCCCCTCAACTACCGGCTGCTTCTGACATTGTTCTAAACACAGACCCTGTTTTCCCCTCCGAGTGGGAACGGATTCCGTGGC